TGTCCACAGGAGACTACGTGTGGGTGGGTACCTGCATGTCCACAGGAGACTATGTGTGGGTGGGTACCTGCATGTCCACAGGAGACTACGTGTGGGTGGGTACCTGCATGTCCACAGGAGACTATGTGTGGGTGGGTACCTGCATGTCTACAGGAGACTATGTGTGGGTGGGTACCTGCATGTCCACAGGAGACTACGTGTGGGTGGGTACCTGCATGTCCACAGGAGACTATGTGTGGGTGGGTACCTGCATGTCTACAGGAGACTATGTGTGGGTGGGTACCTGCATGTCCACAGGAGACTACGTGTGGGTGGGTACCTGCATGTCCACAGGAGACTATGTGTGGGTGGGTACCTGCATGTCCACCAGAGACTATGTGTGGGTGGGTACCTGCATGTCCACCAGAGACTATGTGTGGGTGGGTACCTGCATGTCCACAGGAGACTACGTGTGGGTGGGTACCTGCATGTCCACCAGAGACTATGTGTGGGTGGGTACCTGCATGTCCACAGGAGACTATGTGTGGGTGGGTACCTGCATGTCCACAGGAGACTACGTGTGGGTGGGTACCTGCATGCCCACCAGAGGCTACGTGTGGGTGGGTACCTGCATGTCTACCAGAGACTACGTGTGGGTGGGTACCTGCATGTCTACCAGAGACTATGTGTGGGTGGGTACCTGCATGTCCACAGGAGACTACGTGTGGGTGGGTACCTGCATGTCCACCATAGACTATGTGTGGGTGGGTACCTGCATGTCTACAGGAGACTACGTGTGAGTGGGTACCTGCATGTCCACAGGAGACTACGTGTGGGTGGGTACCTGCATGTCCACAGGAGACTACGTGTGGGTGGGTACCTGCATGTCCACAGGAGACTATGTGTGGGTGGGTACCTGCATGTCTACAGGAGACTACGTGTGGGTGGGTACCTGCATGTCTACAGGAGACTACGTGTGGGTGGGTACCTGCATGTCTACAGGAGACTATGTGTGGGTGGGTACCTGCATGTCTACAGGAGGACTATGTGTGGGTGGGTACCTGCATGTCTACAGGAGACTATGTGTGGGTGGGTACCTGCATGTCCACAGGAGACTATGTGTGGGTGGGTACCTGCATGTCTACAGGAGACTATGTGTGGGTGGGTACCTGCATGTCTACAGGAGACTATGTGTGGGTGGGTACCTGCATGTCTACAGGAGACTATGTGTGGGTGGGTACCTGCATATCCACAGGAGACTACGTGTGGGTGGGTACCTGCATGTCTACAGCAGACTATGTGTGGGTGGGTACCTGCATGTCTACAGGAGACTATGTATGGGTGGGTACCTGCATGTCTACAGGAGACTACGTGTGGGTGGGTACCTGCATGTCTACAGGAGACTATGTGTGGGTGGGTACCTGCATGTCTACAGGAGACTATGTGTGGGTGGGTACCTGCATGTCTACAGGAGACTACGTGTGGGTGGGTACCTGCATGTCTACAGGAGACTATGTGTGGGTGGGTACCTGCATGTCTACAGGAGACTATGTGTGGGTGGGTACCAGCATGTCTACAGGAGACTATGTGTGGGTGGGTACCTGCATGTCCACAGGAGACTATGTGTGGGTGGGTACCTGCATGTCTACAGGAGGCTATGTGTGGGTGGGTACCTGCATGTCTACAGGAGACTATGTGTGGGTGGGTACCTGCATGTCTACAGGAGACTATGTGTGGGTGGGTACCTGCATGTCCACAGGAGACTACGTGTGGGTGGGTACCTGCATGTCTACAGGAGACTATGTGTGGGTGGGTACCTGCATGTCTACAGGAGACTATGTGTGGGTGGGTACCTGCATGTCTACAGGAGACTACGTGTGGGTGGGTACCTGCATGTCTACAGGAGACTATGTGTGGGTGGGTACCTGCATGTCTATAGGAGACTATGTGTGGGTGGGTACCTGCATGTCTACAGGAGACTATGTGTGGGTGGGTACCTGCATGTCCACAGGAGACTATGTGTGGGTGGGTACCTGCATGTCTACAGGAGGCTATGTGTGGGTGGGTACCTGCATGTCTACAGGAGACTATGTGTGGGTGGGTACCTGCATGTTCACAGGAGACTATGTGTGGGTGGGTACCTGCATGTCTACAGGAGACTATGTGTGGGTGGGTACCTGCATGTCCACAGGAGACTACGTGTGGGTGGGTACCTGCATGTCTACAGGAGACTAAGTGTGGGTGGGTACCTGCATGTCTACAGGAGACTACGTGTGGGTGGGTACCTGCATGTCTACAGGAGACTACGTGTGGGTGGGTACCTGCATGTCCACAGGAGACTACGTGTGGGTGGGTACCTGCATGTCTACAGGAGACTACGTGTGGGTGGGTACCTGCATGTCCACAGGAGACTACGTGTGGGTGGGTACCTGCATGTCTACAGGAGACTTTGTGTGGGTGGGTACCTGCATGTTCACAGGAGACTATGTGTGGGTGGGTACCTGCATGTCCACAGGAGACTACGTGTTGGTGGGTACCTGCATGTCTACAGGAGACTATGTGTGGGTGGGTACCTGCATGTCCACAGGAGACTACGTGTGGGTGGGTACCTGCATGTCTACAGGAGACTATGTGTGGGTGGGTACCTGCATGTCCACAGGAGACTACGTGTGGGTGGGTACCTGCATGTCTACAGGAGACTATGTGTGGGTGGGTACCTGCATGTCTACAGGAGACTACGTGTGGGTGGGTACCTGCATGTCTACAGGAGACTACGTGTGGGTGGGTACCTGCATGTCTACAGGAGACTACGTGTGGGTGGGTACCTGCATGTCTACAGGAGACTACGTGTGGGTGGGTACCTGCATGTCTACAGGAGACTACGTGTGGGTGGGTACCTGCATGTCTACAGGAGACTACGTGTGGGTGGGTACCTGCATGTCTACAGGAGACTACGTGTGGGTGGGTACCTGCATGTCTACAGGAGACTACGTGTGGGTGGGTACCTGCATGTCTACAGGAGACTACGTGTGGGTGGGTACCTGCATGTCCACAGGAGACTATGTGTGGGTGGGTACCTGCATGTCTACAGGAGACTACGTGTGGGTGGGTACCTGCATGTCTACAGGAGACTACGTGTGGGTGGGTACCTGCATGTCCACAGGAGACTATGTGTGGGTGGGTACCTGCATGTCTACAGGAGACTATGTGTGGGTGGGTACCTGCATGTCTACAGGAGACTACGTGTGGGTGGGTACCTGCATGTCTACAGGAGACTATGTGTGGGTGGGTACCTGCATGTCTACAGGAGACTACGTGTGGGTGGGTACCTGCATGTCTACAGGAGACTACGTGTGGGTGGGTACCTGCATGTCCACAGGAGACTATGTGTGGGTGGGTACCTGCATGTCTACAGGAGACTATGTGTGGGTGGGTACCTGCATGTCTATAGGAGACTACGTGTGGGTGGGTACCTGCATGTCCACAGGAGACTATGTGTGGGTGGGTACCTGCATGTCTACAGGAGACTATGTGTGGGTGGGTACCTGCATGTCTACAGGAGACTACGTGTGGGTGGGTACCTGCATGTCTACAGGAGACTATGTGTGGGTGGGTACCTGCATGTCTACAGGAGACTACGTGTGGGTGGGTACCTGCATGTCTACAGGAGACTACGTGTGGGTGGGTACCTGCATGTCCACAGGAGACTACGTGTGGGTGGGTACCTGCATGTCTACAGGAGACTACGTGTGGGTGGGTACCTGCATGTCCACAGGAGACTATGTGTGGGTGGGTACCTGCATGTCTACAGGAGACTATGTGTGGGTGGGTACCTGCATGTCTACAGGAGACTATGTGTGGGTGGGTACCTGCATGTCCACAGGAGACTATGTGTGGGTGGGTACCTGCATGTCTACAGGAGACTACGTGTGGGTGGGTACCTGCATGTCTACAGGAGACTACGTGTGGGTGGGTACCTGCATGTCCACAGGAGACTATGTGTGGGTGGGTACCTGCATGTCTACAGGAGACTACGTGTGGGTGGGTACCTGCATGTCCACAGGAGACTACGTGTGGGTGGGTACCTGCATGTCTACAGGAGACTATGTGTGGGTGGGTACCTGCATGTCTACAGGAGACTACGTGTGGGTGGGTACCTGCATGTCCACAGGAGACTATGTGTGGGTGGGTACCTGCATGTCTACAGGAGACTACGTGTGGGTGGGTACCTGCATGTCCACAGGAGACTACGTGTGGGTGGGTACCTGCATGTCCACCAGAGACTATGTGTGAGTGGGTACCTGCATGTCTACAGGAGACTATGTGTGGGTGGGTACCTGCATGTCCACCAGAGACTACGTGTGGGTGGGTACCTGCATGTCCACAGGAGACTATGTGTGGGTGGGTACCTGCATGTCCACAGGAGACTACGTGTGGGTGGGTACCTGCATGTCCACAGGAGACTACGTGTGGGTGGGTACCTGCATGTCTACAGGAGACTACGTGTGGGTGGGTACCTGCATGTCCACAGGAGACTACGTGTGGGTGGGTACCTGCATGTCTACAGGAGACTATGTGTGGGTGGGTACCTGCATGTCTACAGGAGACTACGTGTGGGTGGGTACCTGCATGTCCACAGGAGACTATGTGTGGGTGGGTACCTGCATGTCTACAGGAGACTACGTGTGGGTGGGTACCTGCATGTCCACAGGAGACTACGTGTGGGTGGGTACCTGCATGTCCACCAGAGACTATGTGTGAGTGGGTACCTGCATGTCTACAGGAGACTATGTGTGGGTGGGTACCTGCATGTCCACCAGAGACTACGTGTGGGTGGGTACCTGCATGTCCACAGGAGACTATGTGTGGGTGGGTACCTGCATGTCTACAGGAGACTATGTGTGGGTGGGTACCTGCATGTCTACAGGAGACTACGTGTGGGTGGGTACCTGCATGTCTACAGGAGACTACGTGTGGGTGGGTACCTGCATGTCTACAGGAGACTACGTGTGGGTGGGTACCTGCATGTCCAGGATGTCGGCCACGGCGTAGTGCTGGGCGCCGTCGCACGTCGGCAGCTCCGGTTCCGCGTAGTCCCCACAGTCGCGGCAGCCTGCAACACGCACCACGGGGGTCTCACTGCAGGGGTCTCACCACGGGGGTCTCACCGTGGGGGTCTCACCACGGGGGTCTCACCGTTGGGGTCTCACCACGGGGTCTCACCGTGGGGGTCTCACCACGGGGGTCTCACCACCGGGGTCTCGACACGGGGGTCGGAGGTTGGGTCACTTTTCTTTCCCGTATGAAGGCCGGCACGGCACACGAGGGGGTGGGTGGCCAGCACCACGCCCAGCGATGTTTACACTCCCACCCCAGTTACTCATTTGAGGCTGAGTCGACCTAGGGGAGGCCCAGGACCGGTTCAGGTAATCGTCACAGGTGTTGGTGGCCGTGGGCGGGAATCGAACTCGGGTCGCTGGGTTCGTAATGCAGCACTACACTACCGCTCTCCACCACCACCACGACCACCACAACCACCACGACCACCACAACCACCACTACCACCACCACAACCACTAGAACCACCACTACCACCAACCACGACCACCAACCACGACCACCAACCACGACCACCACGACCACCAACCACGACCACCAACCACTACCACCACGACCACTAACCACGACAACCACCACTACCACAACCACCAGGACCACCACTACCACCAACACCACCACGACCATCAGGACCACCACTACCACGACCACCAAGCACCACTACCACATCCACGACCACCAAGACCACCACTACCACCAACACGACCACCAGAGCCACCACTACCACCACCACCACCACCACCACCAACCACCACCAACGCACCGCCGCCCTCTGCGTGCTCCAGCTGGCGCTCCGTGTGCAGCAGCCGGCGCGTGGCCCGCGGGCCCGGCTCACGGTAGCCGGGCGGCAGCGTCTGCGGCAGGGCCGAGCCGAGGCGCTGCAGCGAGCGCCCGTTGAACATCACCGTGTCACACGGCACCGACAGGCGCACTGTCATGCCGTCATCCAGCATGGCGCGCGGGGCCTGGGGGGAGGGAGCAGGGGGGCGTGGAGAGGGGGGCGGGGGCCGATTGTCGCCGGCCGTTTTCGACGTCCGCTTGACCTCTGGTCCTCACGCGCAACGGCCGGCGACCGCGCGCATTACGATTATGCCGGCGCTGATTGTTGCTGGCCGTTCGCGTGACCTCTGGTGCCTCGTAAAAAAAAATAAAAGGGGGAGAAAAAACCCCCGTTGGCGGTGCTGATTGTTGCTGGCTGTTTTTGCCATTGGGTTCCCACCCCCCCCCACGCCCCACCCCCCCCCCCACCTTCTCGAGGAGCTTCCTCCAGTTGTGCCGCCAGAGGATGAGCGCGATGATGACGACGAGGAGGAGGATGATGGCGACGAGGCAGGCGACGAGCACGGGAGCGCTCTCGTCGGCCGTGTCCACGGGCCGCCCGGACAGCGTCGCCCCCGGCGCGCCCGGCACCCTCGTGCCTGAGTTCGCACCGGGGGGGTTGCAGCGTGCGGGCGCGTGACGTTTTGTGAGACCGCGTAGGTACAAGTATACAAACGTTGCGTCGTTAGGCCCGCCGCCGCCGCCCGGCACGGCACGGCCGACCGGTGAGTGTTGTGTGTCACGTGAGCAGGACGTTGCCAGCCCGTCGCGAGCACAGCACCGCCGGTTGTGCGCTGGGGAGCCAAGCCGCGACATTCACAATCTGAGCAGCTCGACGTTTCGCCCGTAACTACAGGCAGCCTCGTTGGGCGGACAGCGGCCAGATTTGTGTAGAGGCGTGGGCGTCGCGAGAGCCCGCGAGTCAAACTGGGCGCCCGGACAAAATCTCCACGCTCCGGGCGAGCAATGATCGTTGTTTGGTGTTCGATCTGTAATAATTGGCCGTCGTAACGATTGCAAAGTGCGAGGCAAGGGCGGTGGCCGGACCAGCGACGCGATGTCGCAGCGCGATCCTGTGGATGGGGGACGCGGGCTCTCTCCGTATGGATATAACCAAGCCTGCTTTGAAGGCCCATCTCATTGAAACCAACCTTCCCTTCCCACTCCCACTTTGGCCCTGGTTCTACTCTCGTCTCCTGCCTCTCGCGCGTTTCACGTTGGGGCCCGCGGACGGGATGCGCATCATGCATCGGAAACGTTATTCTTTGGTTCTTGCGGTAAAGTCACGAAGATAGAAGAATTACAGTAAAAAAATTCAAGTGAATAAAAGTACAAATGTATTCACTTTATTTTATTTTTATTATTTAAGTGACTAAAAAACTTTATTCAGTAAAATGTTTTTATTATTTAATAAAGTGAATAAAAGTAAAAAATGTATTCACTTTCTCTTGTATTATTTTTCTATCTACGTGCCTGTACCGAAAGAACCAAAAATAAAAAATCTGAATCGTCATTATCATTATGAGATCTTCCCCGCACAAAGTGGTCACCCGTTTTATCGACCCCTCCCCTCCACCGCCTTCCCCTGGAGCGAGCGTTGATGATGGGCCGAGCGAGCGTTGATGATGGGCCGAGCGAGCGTTGATGATGGGCCGAGCGAGCGTTGATGATGGGCCGAGCGAGCGTTGATGATGGGCCGAGCGAGCGTTGATGATGGGCCGAGCGAGCGTTGATGATGGGCCGAGCGAGCGTTGATGATGGGCCGAGCGAGCGTTGATGATGGGCCGAGCGAGCATTGATGATGGGCCGAGCGAGCGTTGATGATGGGCCGAGCGAGCGTTGATGATGGGCCGAGCGAGCGTTGATGATGGGCCGAGCGAGCGTTGATGATGGGCCGAGCGAACGTTGATGATGGGCCAAGCGAGCGTTGATGATGGGCCGAGCGAGCGTTGATGATGGGCCGAGCGAACGTTGATGATGGGCCAAGCGAGCGTTGATGATGGGCCGAGCGAACGTTGATGATGGGCCAAGCGAGCGTTGATGATGGGCCGAGCGAGCGTTGATGATGGGCCGAGCGAGCGTTGATGATGGGCCGAGCGAACGTTGATGATGGGCCGAGCGAGCGTTGATGATGGGCCGAGCGAGCGTTGATGATGGGCCGAGCGAGCGTTGATGATGGGCCGAGCGAGCGTTGATGATGGGCCGAGCGAGCGTTGATGATGGGCCGAGCGAGCGTTGATGATGGGCCAAGCGAGCGTTGATGATGGGCCGAGCGAACGTTGATGATGGGCCAAGCGAGCGTTGATGATGGGCCGAGCGAGCGTTGATGATGGGCCGAGCGAGCGTTGATGATGGGCCGAGCGAACGTTGATGATGGGCCGAGCGAGCGTTGATGATGGGCCGAGCGAGCGTTGATGATGGGCCGAGCGAGCGTTGATGATGGGCCGAGCGAGCGTTGATGATGGGCCGAGCGAGCGTTGATGATGGGCCGAGCGAGCGTTGATGATGGGCCGAGCGAACCTCCTCCTCCACGCTCACCGTGCGGACGGCTCGTGGCCTCCGGCCCTCGCGTGCTAGGGGGCCGCCGTGAGGGCGGGAGGCCCCCCCCTGGCGGGGCGGGCGGTGGGGGCGGTGGGGTGCTGCGGGCCCCCCCCCGTGGGGGAGTGGGGGGGGGCGGGGCCCGTGACACGGGCTCCTGGCTCCGGTCTGCGGAGACGGAGAGGGGAAGGGAGGGGCCGGTGGGGGGGACCGGAGCGTGAGGTCAGAGCCGGTCACGGACACGAGGTGGCGCAGCGTGACCCCTGCAGCAATCATCGCCCCACCCCCTCCCCCTCCTGGTACTGGCAGAGTAGTGCACAGGAACAGCTACCGCTGGGGGTGCCCCTAGGCCAGACGACTCAGCAGCAGCAATCATTGTCCGCCCTACTACTGGCAGAATAATGCCCCCCAGGGTCACCCGCTCACTCGCTCACTCACCCACTCACAAGCCTACCCACTCATCCACCCACTCACTAGCTCATCCACTCACTCACTCGCTCACTCACCCACTCACAAGCTTACCCACTCATCCACTCACTCACTAGCTCATCCACTCACTCACTCACCCACCCACTCACAAGCTCACCTACTCATCCACTCGCTCACCCACTCACTAGCTCATCCACTCACTCACTAGCTCATTCACTCAGCCACTCACAAGCTCACTCATTCACTCACCCAGCCACTCGCTCGGTCACCCGCTGACTCACCCACTGAACCACTCGCTCAACCCTCCCACTCACTCACTTGACCCACCCACTCGCTCGACCCACCAACTCGACCCACCCACCAGCTCGCTCAACCCACCAACTCGCTCGACCCACCAGCTCGCTCGACCCACCAGCTCGCTCGACCCACCAACTCGCTCGACCCACCAGCTCGCTCAACCCACCAGCTCGCTCAACCCACCAGCTCGCTCGACCCACTAACCCGCTCGACCCACCCGCTCGCTCGACCCACCAACTCGCTCGACCCACCCACCCACTCGACCCACCAACTCGCTCGACCCACCCACTCGCTCGACCCACCAACTCGCTCGACCCACCCACTCGCTCGACCCACCAACCCGCTCGACCCACCAACTCGCTCGACCCACCAACTCGCTCGACCCACCAACTCGCTCGACCCACCCACTCGACCCACCAACTCGCTCGACCCACCAACTCGCTCGACCCACCCACTCGACCCACCAACTCGCTCGACCCACCCACTCGCTCGACCCACCAACTCGCTCGACCCACCCACTCGACCCACCAGCTCGCTCGACCCACCAACTCGCTCGACCCACCTACTCGCTCGACCCACCCACTCGCTCGACCCACCCACTCGCTCGACCCACCAACTCGCTCGACCTACCAACTCGCTCGACCCACCAACTCGCTCGACCCACCAACTCGCTCGACCCACCCACTCGCTCGACCCACCAGCTCGCTCGACCCACCAGCTCGCTCGACCCACCAGCTCGCTCGACCCACCAACTCGCTCGACCCACCAACTCGCTCGACCTACCAACTCGCTCGACCCACCAACTCGCTCGACCCACCAACTCGCTCGACCCACCCACTCGCTCGACCCACCAGCTCGCTCGACCCACCAGCTCGCTCGACCCACCAACTCGCTCGACCCACCAACTCGCTCGACCCACCTACTCGCTCGACCCACCCACTCGCTCGACCCACCCACTCGCTCGACCCACCAGCTCGCTCGACCCACCAGCTCGCTCGACCCACCAACTCGCTCGACCCACCCACTCGCTCGACCCACCAACTCGCTCGACCCACCAACTCGCTCGACCCACCCACTCGCTCGACCCACCAGCTCGCTCGACCCACCCACTCTCCCTCGCACGCGCGCCAACTCCCATCCTCCCCGTCGGCACCCACCCGAGTGGAACGAAATCTCGCTGATGAGGAGCCACGCGGCGCCCAGGTAAAAGTGGCACTTGATGGCGATGGCGTTGCGCTGGCGAAGCGGAACGGTGATGAAGCGTGCGCGCGGGTCGGCCGTGTCCGGCTCCACCACCAGCCCCACGCCCACCTCCTCCTCCTCCTCCTCACCGCCACCGCCGCCGCCACCCTCCCACTCGTCACTGGCGGAGCGGCGGAAGAAGCAGCGAGCCTCGCGGAACGTCTGCACGCCGCTCTGGAACATGTTGTTGCAGTGGACCTGTCCGTGTCACGTGGGGGGAGACGTGGTGGGAGGACGGGGGGGGGGGGAGAGATGAGAGGGGGTGACGTGGTGGGAGGGGGGGGTGGTGGGAGGAGGGGGGGAGACACGGGGGGGGGGGGGGGAGACGAGACACTTGGGATACACGGGGGGGGGGGGGGGGCGGTGGTGAGGGAGGATGGGGGAGGGCCGGTGGGGGTTAAGGAGGATGTGGGGTAGGACACGGGGGGGTGGGACACGGTGGGAGTGATGGAGGGGGGGTGGGACACGGTGGGGGTGATGGAGGGGAGTGGGACACGGTGGGGGTGATGGAGGGGGGTGGGACACGGTGGGGGTGATGGAGGGGGGTGGGACACGGGGGTGGGGGTGATGGAGGGGGGTGGGACACGGGGGTGGGGGTGATGGAGGGGGGTGGGACACGGGGGTGGGGGTGATGGAGGGGGGTGGGACACGGGGGTGGGGGTGATGGAGGGGGGTGGGGTTGTGGCACCTTCATGGCTGAGAAGTTTCGGGGCTCGTCGAACTCGAAGTGCATGAGCAGGTAGGGCAGGCTGAGGCTGACGTTGCTCCAGCCGACGTAGTCGTAGCCCGGCCACACGCGGTGCTCGGGGCTCAGCGCAAAATCGTCGAGGCCCCAGACGCCGTCGGTCAGCTGGCCGAGACCGCCGTACATCTGCCTGGGGGGGACACGGAGAGAGAGACACGTGGTGTGTGTGAGTGTCCACCACTGTGGAGTGAGTGTCCACCACTGTGGTGTGTGTGAGTGTCCACCACTGTGGAGAGTGAGTGTCCACCACTGTGGTGTGTGTGAGTGTCCACCACTGTGGTGTGTGTGAGTGTCCACCACTGTGGAGAGTGTGAGTGTCCACCACTTTGTCCACCACTGTGGTGTGAGTGTCCACCACTGTGGTGTGTGTGAGTGTCCACCACTGTGTCCACCACTGTGGTGTGAGTGAGTGTCCTCCACTGTGTCCACCACTGTGGTGTGAGTGAGTGTCCTCCACTGTGTCCACCACTGTGGTGTGAGTGTCCACCACTGTGGTGTGAGTGTCCACCACTGTGGAGTGAGTGTCCACCACTGTGGTGTGAGTGTCCACCACTGTGTCCACCACTGTGGAATGAGTGAGTGTCCACCACTGTGGTGTGAGTGAGTGTCCACCACTGTGGAGTGAGTGAGTGTCCACCACTGTGGTGTGAGTGAGTGTCCACCACTGTGGAGTGAGTGAGTGTCCACCACTGTGGAGTGAGTGTCCACCACTGTGGTGTGTGTGAGTGTCCACCACTGTGGTGTGTGTGAGTGTCCACCACTGTGGAGTGAGTGAGTGTCCACCACTGTGGTGTGAGTGAGTGTCCACCACTGTGGTGTGAGTGAGTGTCCACCACTGTGGTGTGTGTGAGTGTCCACCACTGTGGTGTGTGTGAGTGTCCACCACTGTGGAGTGAGTGAGTGTCCACCACTGTGGTGTTTGTGAGTGTCCACCACTGTGGTGTGTGTGAGTGTCCACCACTGTGGAGTGAGTGAGTGTTCACCACTGTGGTGTGTGTGTGTCCACCACTGTGGAGTGAGTGTCCACCACTGTGGTGTGAGTGTCCACCACTGTGGAGTGAGTGTCCACCACTGTGGAGTGAGTGTCCACCACTGTGGTGTGAGTGTCCACCACTGTGGAGTGAGTGAGTGTCCACCACTGTGGAGTGAGTGTCCACCACTGTGGTGTGAGTGTCCACCACTGTGGAGTGAGTGAGTGTCCACCACTGTGGAGTGAGTGTCCACCACTGTGGAGTGAGTGTCCACCACTGTGGAGTGAGTGTCCACCACTGTGGAGTGAGTGTCCACCACTGTGGTGTGTGTGAGTATCCACCACTGTGGTGTGAGTGTCCACCACTGTGGAGTGAGTGTCCACCACTGTGGTGTGTGTGAGTGTCCACCACTGTGGTGTGTGTGAGTGTCCACCACTGTGGTGTGTGTGAGTGTCCACCACTGTGGAGTGAGTGTCCACCACTGTGGAGTGAGTGTCCACCACTGTGGAGTGAGTGTCCACCACTGTGGAGTGAGTGTCCACCACTGTGGAGTGAGTGTCCACCACTGTGGAGTGAGTGTCCACCACTGTGGAGTGAGTGTCCACCACTGTGGTGTGTGTGAGTATCCACCACTGTGGTGTGAGTGTCCACCACTGTGGAGTGAGTGTCCACCACTGTGGTGTGTGTGAGTGTCCACCACTGTGGTGTGTGTGAGTGTCCACCACTGTGGTGTGAGTGTCCACCACTGTGGAGTGAGTGTCCACCACTGTGGAGTGAGTGTCCACCACTGTGGAGTGAGTGTCCACCACTGTGGAGTGAGTGAGTGTCCACCACTGTGGAGTGAGTGTCCACCACTGTGGTGTGAGTGTCCACCACTGTGGAGTGAGTGTCCACCACTGTGGAGTGAGTGTCCACCACTGTGGAGTGAGTGTCCACCACTGTGGTGTGAGTGTCCACCACTGTGGAGTGAGTGTCCACCACTGTGGAGTGAGTGTCCACCACTGTGGAGTGAGTGTCCACCACTGTGGAGTGAGTGTCCACCACTGTGGAGTGAGTGTCCACCACTGTGGAGTGAGTGTCCACCACTGTGGAGTGAGTGTCCACCACTGTGGAGTGAGTGTCCACCACTGTGGTGTGAGTGTCCACCACTGTGGAGTGAGTGTCCACCACTGTGGAGTGAGTGTCCACCACTGTGGAGTGAGTGTCCACCACTGTGGAGTGAGTGTCCACCACTGTGGAGTGAGTGTCCACCACTGTGGAGTGAGTGTCCACCACTGTGGTGTGAGTGTCCACCACTGTGGAGTGAGTGAGTGTCCACCACTGTGGTGTGAGTGTCCACCACTGTGGTGTGAGTGTCCACCACTGTGGAGTGAGTGTCCACCACTGTGGAGTGAGTGTCCACCACTGTGGAGTGAGTGTCCACCACTGTGGAGTGAGTGTCCACCACTGTGGAGTGAGTGTCCACCACTGTGGTGTGAGTGTCCACCACGGGTAGAGGCCTCACCGGGAGGCGATGAAACCGTCGTAAGTGGAGTCGTTGAGGTTGGCGGGCCCCAGGGAGGGCAGGAGGAGCGTCTCGCCCTCGGGGGCCGAATAGGAGACGAGTCCGTCTGGGTGACACGCGGGGTGACACACGGGGTGACACACGGGGTGACACACGGGGTGACACGCGGGGTGACACACGGGGTGACACACGGGGTGACACACGGGGTGACACACGGGGTGACACACGGGGTGACACACGTTGGTGACACACGTAGGTGACATACGGGGTGACACACAGGGTGACACACGGGGTGACACGCGGGGTGACATGTTGGTGACACACGGGGTGACACACGGAGTGACACACGGGGTGACGCACGCGGGGAGCCGGGGGAGGACGGGCCTCGTGGTGGGGGGGGGGGGATAAGTTAGTGGAGGGGGGGGGTGTTGGCTGGGGGGTATTAGAGTGGGGGGGTGTTGGCTGGGGTGTTGGCTGGGGGGTGTTAGAGTGGGGGGGGTGTTGGCTGGGGGGGTATTAGAGTGGGGGGGTGTTGGCTGGGGGGTGTTGGCTGGGGTGTTGGCTGGGGGGTGTTAGAGTGGGGGGGGTGTTGGCTGGGGGGTATTAGAGTTGGGGGGTGTTGGCTGGAGGGTGTTGGCTGGGGTGTTGGCAGGGGGGTGTTGGCTGGGGGGTATTAGAGTGGGGGGGTGTTGGCTGGGGGGTATTAGAGTGGGGGGGGTGTTGGCTGGGGTGTTGGCTGGGGGGTGTTAGAGTGGGGGGGGTGTTGGCTGGGGTGTTGGCTGGGGGTATTAGAGTGGGGGGGTGTTGGCTGGGGTGTTGGCTGGGGGGTGTTAGAGTGGGGGGGGTGTTGGCTGGGGGGTGTTAGAGTGGGGGGGTGTTGGCTGGGGGGTGGTAGAGTGGGGGGGGTGTTGGCTGGGGTGTTGGCTGGGGGGTGTTAGAGTGGGGGGGGTGTTGGCTGGGGTGTTGGCTGGGGGGTATTAGAGTGGGGGGGTGTTGGCTGGGGGGTGTTAGAGTGGGGGGGGTGTTGGCTGGGGTGTTGGCTGGGGGGTGTTAGAGTGGGGGGGGTGTTGGCTGGGGGGTGTTAGAGTGGGGGGGTGTTGGCTGGGGGGTGGTAGAGTGGGGGGGGGTGTTGGCTGGGGTGTTGGCTGGGGGGTGTTAGAGTGGGGGGGGTGTTGGCTGGGGTGTTGGCTGGGGGGTATTAGAGTGGGGGGGTGTTGGCTGGGGGGTGTTAGAGTGGGGGGGGTGTTGGCTGGGGGGGTATTAGAGTTGGGGGGTGTTGGCTGGGGGGTGTTGGCTGGGGTGTTGGCTGGGGGGTGTTGGCTGGGGGGTATTAGAGTGGGGGGGTGTTGGCTGGGGTGTTGGCTGGGGGTATTAGAGTGGGGGGGGTGTTGGCTGGGGTGTTGGCTGGGGGGTATTAGAGTGGGGGGGTGTTGGCTGGGGTGTTGGCTGGGGGGTGTTAGAGTGGGGGGGGTGTTGGCTGGGGGGTGTTAGAGTGGGGGGGTGTTGGCTGGGGGGTGTTAGAGTGGGGGGGGTGTTGGCTGGGGTGTTGGCTGGGGGGTGTTAGAGTGGGGGGGGGTGTTGGCTGGGGTGTTGGCTGGGGGGTATTAGAGTGGGGGGGTGTTGGCTGGGGTGTTGGCTGGGGGGGGTTAGAGTGGGGGGGGTGTTGGCTGGGGGGGTATTAGAGTTGGGGGGTGTTGGCTGGGGGGTGTTGGCTGGGGGGTATTAGAGTGGGGGGGTGTTGGCTGGGGGGTATTAGAGTGGGGGGGTGTTGGCTGGGGGGTGTTAGAGTGGGGGGGGTGTTGGCTGGGGTGTTGGCTGGGGGGTGTTAGAGTGGGGGGGGTGTTGGCTGGGGTGTTGGCTGGGGGGTATTAGAGTGGGGGGGTGTTGGCTGGGGGGTATTAGAGTGGGGGGGTGTTGGCTGGGGGGTATTAGAGTGGGGGGGGTGTTGGCTGGGGTGTTGGCTGGGGGGTGTTAGAGTGGGGGGGTGTTGGCTGGGGGGTGTTAGAGTGGGGGGGTGTTGGCTGGGGTGTTGGCTGGGGGGGGGTAGAGGGGGGGGGGTGTTGGCTGGGGGGGTATTAGAGTTGGGGGGTGTTGGCTGGGGGGTGTTGGCTGGGGTGTTGGCTGGGGTGTTGGCTGGGGTGTTGGCTGGGGGGTGTTAGAGTGGGGGGGGTGTTGGCTGGGGGGGTATTAGAGTGGGGGGGTGTTGGCTGGGGTGTTGGCTGGGGTGTTGGCTGGGGGGTGTTAGAGTGGGGGGGGTGTTGGCTGGGGGGGTATTAGAGTTGGGGGGTGTTGGCTGGGGGGTGTTGGCTGGGGTGTTGGCTGGGGGGTGTTAGAGTGGGGGGGGTGTTGGCTGGGGGGTATTAGAGTTGGGGGGTGTTGGCTGGAGGGTGTTGGCTGGGGGGTATTAGAGTGGGGGGGTGTTGGCTGGGGGGTGTTGGCTGGGGGGTATTCGAGTGGGGGGGGTGTTGGCTGGGGTGTTGGCTGGGGGGTGTTAGAGTGGGGGGGTGTTGGCTGGGGGGTATTAGAGTGGGGGGGGTGTTGGCTGGGGTGTTGGCTGGGGGGTGTTAGAGTGGGGGGGGTGTTGGCTGGGGTGTTGGCTGGGGGGTATTAGAGTTGGGGGGTGTTGGCTGGGGGGTGTTAGAGTGGGGGGGTGTTGGCTGGGGTGTTGGCTGGGGGGTGTTAGAGTGGGGGGGGTGTTGGCTGGGGGGGTATTAGAGTTGGGGGGTGTTGGCTGGGGGGTGTTGGCTGGGGTGTTGGCTGGGGGGTGGTAGAGTGGGGGGGTGTTGGCTGGGGGGTATTAGAGTGGGGGGGTGTTGGCTGGGGTGTTGGCTGGGGGGTGTTAGAGTGGGGGGGTGTTGGCTGGGGGGGTATTAGAGTTGGGGGGTGTTGGCTGGGGGGTGTTGGCTGGGGTGTTGGCTGGGGGGTGTTAGAGTGGGGGGGTGTTGGCTGGGGGGTATTAGAGTGGGGGGGTGTTGGCTGGGGTGTTGGCTGGGGGGTGTTAGAGTGGGGGGGGTGTTGGCTGGGGGGGTATTAGAGTGGGGGGGTGTTGGCTGGGGTGTTGGCTGGGGGGTGTTAGAGTGGGGGGGTGTTGGCTGGGGGGTGTTAGGGTGGTGGGGGTGTTGGCTGGGGGGTATTAGAGTGGGGAGGTGTTGGCTGGGGTGTTGGCTGGGGGGTGTTGGCTGGGGTGTTGGCTGGGGGGTGTTAGGGTGGTGGGGGTGTTGGCTGGGGGGGTATTAGAGTGGGGGGGTGTTGGCTGGGGTGTTGGCTGGGGGGTATTAGAGTGGGGGGGTGTTGGCTGGGGGTGTTAGGGTGGTGGGGGCCCCACCAGCCCAGGGGCAGCCATAGAGCTCGACGCGCATGCAGACGCTCATGGCGCGGTCGGTGACGGCGACGAAGCGCACGAAGCGAGCGACGAGCGCGGGCCCCAGGTCCTTGAGCACCACGTCCTGTGTGTTCACGTTGCCCTGGATCACCTGTGGGTACAGGTAAACACACATGTAAACACACAGGTAAACACACCACGTCCTGTGTGTTCACGTTGCCCTGGATCACCTGTGGGTACAGGTAGACACACAGGTAAACACAGGTAGACACACAGGTAAACACACCACGTCCTGTGTGTTCACGTTGCCCTGGATCACCTGTGGGCACAGGTAGACACACAGGTAGACACACAGGTAAACACACAGGTAGACACAGGTAAACACACAGGTAGACACAGGTAAACACACCACGTCCTGTGTGTTCACGTTGCCCTGGATCACCTGTGGACACAGGTAAACACACAGGTAAACACACAGGTAAACACAGGTAAACACACCACGTCCTGTGTGTTCACGTTACCCTGGATCACCTGTGGGTACAGGTAGACACACAGGTAAACACACAGGTAAACACACAGGTAAACACCCCACATCCTGTGTGTTCACGTTACCCTGGATCACCTGTGGGCACAGGTAGACACACAGGTAAACACCCCACGTCCTGTGTGTTCACGTTGCCCTGGATCACCTGTGGGCACAGGTAGACACACAGGTAGACACACAGGTAAACACACCACGTCCTGTGTGTTCACGTTACCCTGGATCACCTGTGGGCACAGGTAGACACACAGGTAAACACCCCACGTCCTGTGTGTTCACGTTGCCCTGGATCACCTGTGGGCACAGGTAAACACACAGGTAAACACACAGGTAAACACCCCACGTCCTGTGTGTTCACGTTGCCCTGGATCACCTGTGGGCACAGGTAGACACACAGGTAGACACACAGGTAAACACACCACGTCCTGTGTGTTCACGTTGCCCTGGATCACCTGTGGGCACAGGTAGACACACAGGTAGACACACAGGTAAACACACCACGTCCTGTGTGTTCACGTTACCCTGGATCACCTGTGGGCACAGGTAGACACACAGGTAAACACCCCACGTCCTGTGTGTTCACGTTACCCTGGATCACCTGTGGGCACAGGTAGACACACAGGTAAACACCCCACGTCCTGTGTGTTCACGTTGCCCTGGATCACCTGTGGGCACAGGTAAACACAGGTAGACACACAGGTAAACACACAGGTAAACACACCACGTCCTGTGTGTTCACGTTACCCTGGATCACCTGTGGGCACAGGTAGACACACAGGTAAACACACAGGTAAACACACAGGTAAACACAGGGCACACACAGGTAAACACACCACGTCCTGTGTGTTCACGTTGCCCTGGATCTCCTGCGGGCACAGGGCACGCACAGGTAAACACCCCACCTCACCCAAACCAACCTGGAGCGTGTGTTGAACTTCTTTCGCACCACCGCGCTAATCAGAAGTGCAGTGTTGAGTCTATGGGCAGTGTTGAGTCTATGGGCAGTTTTGAGTCTATGCGCAGTGTTGAGTCTGTGGGCAGTGTTGAGTCTATGGGCAGTGTTGAGTCTATGGGCAGTGTTGAGTCTATGGGCAGTGTTGAGTCTATGGGCAGCGGCTTTGGGATCCTCCCTTGCGGCTGTTGCTAAGGGGGCTCCTCCGTTGCTAAGGGGGCTCCTCCATTGCTAAGGGGGCTCCTCCATCGCTAAGGGTCCGCTCGCCTGGTTGCCGCGGCGGTCCCTCCACGGCAGCCATCGGTGCGCGTCGCGGCTGTACTCGAGGCGGTAGGCCCTCGCGAACTCGTTGCCGAGGCCGTTGCCATGGCGACCCTGCGTGCCGACGAGCGTGACGACGTGGAGGCGCCGCAGGTCCACCTGGAGGAACTGGGAGTGCTGCGGGCTGACGGGGCCGTCAGCGCACCACGCTCCGTCGCCGCCTTCCAGGTTCAGCCTGGCACGTGGGGGGACAGCGGGGCCACTACACTACCACTACAACGACAAACACCACTCCAACCAGCACTACAACGACAAACACTGCAACTACAACAACAACAACAAACACCACTCCAACCACCACTACAACGACAAACACTGCAACTACAACAACAACAACAAACACCACTCCAACCACCACTACAACGACAAACACTGCAACTACAACAACAACAACAAACACCGCTACCACTACAACAATAACAACCACTCCAACCACCACTGCAACTACAACGACAAACACTGCAACTACAACGACAACAAACACCGCTACCACTACAACAATAACCACTCCAGCCACCACTGCAACTACAAACACTGCAACCACCACCGCTACAACAATAACAACCACTCCAACAACCACCACTCCAACCACAACTGCAACTACAACGACTACAACAACCACCGCTACTACAACCACTACAACAACCACTGCAACAACCACCGCTACAACAACCACTACAGCAACAACCCCTACAACAACCACTACAAAAACAACCACTACAACCACCACTACCACAACAACTACAGCAACAACCACTATAACCACCACTACTGCCTCACCACCACTACTACTGCCCTGTGAGTGAGTGAATGAGTGAGTGAGCTGCCCTGTGAATGAGTGAGTGAGCTGCCCTGTGAGTGAGTGAATGAGTGAGCTAGTGAGTGAGTGAGCTGCCCTGTGAGTGAATGAGTGAATGAGCTGCCCCTGTAAGTGAGTGAGTGAATGAGTGAGCTGCCCTGTGAATGAGTGAGTGAGCTGCCCCTGTAAGTGAGTTAATGAGTGAGCTAGTGAGTGAGTGAATGAGCTGCCCTTGTAAGTGAGTGAGTGAATGAGTGAGCTGCCCTGTGAATGAGTGAGTGAGCTGCCCTGTGAGTGAGTGAATGAGTGAGTGAGCTGCCCCTGTAAGTGAGTGGCGAGTGAGTGAGTGAGCTGCCCCTCTGAGTGAGTGAGTGAGCTTCCCCGTGAGTGAGTGAGTGAATGAGTAAGTGAGCTACCCTATGAGTGACTGAGCTGCCCCTGTAAGTGAGTGAATGAGTGAGCTGCCCTGTGAGTGGCGAGTGAGTGAGTGAGCTGCCCCTGTGAGTGAGCTGCCCTTGTAACTGAGTGGCGAGTGAGTGAATGAGTGAGTGAGTGAGCTGCCTCGTGAGTAAGTGAGCTACCCTATGAATGAATGAGCTGCCCCTGTAAGTGAGTGAGTGAATGAGTGAGCTGCCCTGTGAGTGAATGAGTGAGCGAGCTGCCCCTGTAAGTGAGTGAATGAGTGAGTGAATGAGTGAGCTGCCCTGTGAGTGAATGAGTGAGTAAGCTGCCCCTGTAAGTGAGTGAATGAATGAGTGAGCTGCCCTGTGAGTGAGTGAGTAAGTGAGCTACGCTGTGAGTGAGTGAATGAGCTGCCCCTGTAAGTGAGTGAGTGAATGAGTGAGCTGCCCTGTGAGTGAATGAGTGAGTGAGCTGCCCCTGTAAGTGAGTGAATGAGTGAGCTGCCCCTGTGAGTGAGCTGCCCCTGTAAGTGAGTGAGTGAATGAGTGAGCTGCCCTGTGAGTGAATGAGTGAGTGAGCTGCCCCTGTAAGTGAGTGAATGAATGAGTGAGCTGCCCTGTGAGTGAGTAAGTGAGCTACGCTGTGAGTGAGTGAATGAGCTGCCCCTGTAAGTGAGTGAGTGAATGAGTGAGCTGCCCTGTGAGTGAGTGAATGAGTGAGCTGCCCTGTGAGTGAATGAGTGAGTGAGCTGCCCCTGTAAGTGAGTGAATGAATGAGTGAGCTGCCCCTGTGAGTGAGTGAGCTGCCCTGTGAATGAGCTGCCCCTGTAAGTGAGTGAATGAGTGAGTGAATGAGTGAGCTGCCCTGTGAATGAGTGAGTGAGCTCCCCCTGTGAGTGAGCTGCCCCTGTAAGTGAGTGGCGAATGAGTGAGTGAGTGAGCTGCCCCTGTGAATGAGTGAGTGAGCTCCCCCTGTGAGTGAGCTGCCCTTGTAAGTGAGTGGCGATTGAATGAGTGAGTGAATGAGTGAGTGAGCTGCCCCTGTAAGTGAGTGGCGAGTGAGTGAATGAGTGAGTGAGCTGCCCCTGTGAGTGAGTGGCGAGTGAGTGAATGAGTGAGTGAGTGAGCTGCCCCTGTAAGTGAGTGGCGAGTGAGTGAATGAGTGAGTGAGTGAGCTGCCCCTGTGAGTGAGTGGCGAGTGTTGAGCTGCTCACCTGGCGAACCGCGCCCCGGTCGATTCGTACCACTCGCTCGAGGCAGAGATGTCCTCATCACGGATGCTGCCATCCTGCATCCCCAGGGCATAGCGACAGAGCCCTGCACACACACACACACACCCCACACACAAAGACAAAGGTCCCCCGTTTAGCCTCGACACACTGTTGGGACAAGTGCTGTGAGCGAGGAGCAGGAGGAGCCGTACCCCTGGCACGAGGTGGTACTCGGACGGGTGTGTGGACTAATCCCCATCTGTTCCACACTCACTTCCACCCGTGGGTGTCGAGGAGGTGCCATGCCCGAACTCTGCCAGGAGAAGGCGGTGCTCAGCAAAGCGTGGAAACTCGCGCAGCCTCGCGACCACCACTGCCTGTCTCTGTGTGGTGGTGGTGGTGGTAGCGGTGGTGGTGGGGGTGATGTTGGTAGCGGTGGTGATGGTAGTTGTGGTGGTGGTGATGGTGGTAGCGGTGGTGGTGGGGGTGATGGTGGTAGTTGTGGTGGTGGTGGTGGTGATGGTGGTAGTTGTGGTGGTGGAGGTAACGGTGGTGGTGGAGGTGATGGTGGTGGTGGTAGTTGTGGTGATGGTGGTGGTTGTGGGGGTGATGGTGGTGGTGGTGGGGGTGATGGTGGTAGTTGTGGTGGTGGTAGTGGTGGTGGTGGTGATGGTGGTAGTTGTGGTGGTGGAGGTAACGGTGGTGGTGGAGGTGATGGTGGTGGTAGTTGTGGTGATGGTGGTGGTGGTTGTGGGGGTGATGGTGGTGGTGGTGCCGGGTAAATGGCGAGACGCAGGGACCCCCAGCCCCCCCGAGATTCCCACGCGTGTCGTGATGATCTCTAGCGGGGCCGTGATGATCACTAGCGGGGCCGTTATGATCACTCACAGGGCTGTGATGATCACTAGCGGGGCCGTGATGATCGCTAGCGGGGCCGTGATGATCACTAGCGGGGCCGTGATGATCGCTAGCGGGGCCGTGATGATCGCTAGCAGGGCCGTGATGATCACTAGCGTGCCGTGATGATCACTAGCGGGGCCGTGATGATCACTAGCGTGCCGTGATGATCACTAGCGGGGCAGTGATGATCACTAGAGGGGCCGTGATGATCACTCACGGGGCAGTGATGATCTCTAGCGGGGCCGTGATGATCACTAGCGGGGCCGTGATGATCACTAGCGTGCCGTGATGATCACTCACGGGCAGTGATGATCACTAGAGGGGCCGTGATGATCACTCACGGGGCAGTGATGATCTCTAGCGGGGCCGTGATGATCACTAGCGTGTCGTGATGATCACTAGCGGGGCTGTGATGATCACTCACGGGGCAGTGATGATCACTAGCGGGGCAGTGATGATCACTAGTGGGGCCGTGATGATCACTAGCGGGGCAGTGATGATCACTCACGGGGCAGTGATGATCACTAGCGGGGCCGTGATGATCACTAGCGGGGCCGTGATGATCACTAGAGGGGCCGTGATGATCACTAGCGTGCCGTGATGATCACTAGCGGGGCAGTGATGATCACTAGCGGGGCCGTGATGATCTCTAGCGTGCCGTGATGATCTCTAGCGGGGCCGTGATGATCACTAGCGGGGCCGTGATGATCGCTAGTGGGGCCGTGATGATCACTAGCGGGGCCGTGATGATCACTAGCGGGGCCGTGATGATCACTAGCGGGGCCGTGATGATCACTAGCGGGGCCGTGATGATCACTAGCGGGGCCGTGGCGGTGCTGCTGAGCACTCAGACAAAGTCGACAGAGAGAAGAGAGAGGGGAGAGAGAGAGGGGGCGCCAACTCGCGCAGCAGCGCCCCACTCACTCGTGACATCGCCCTGCCGGGCCCACACCGGCACGGTGCGTCTGTGTGTGTGTGTGTCTGTGTGTGTGTGTCTGTGTGTGTCTGTGTGTGTGTGTCTGTGTGTGTCTGTGTGTGTATCTGTGTGTGTGTGTGTCTGTGTGTAAATTCAGAACTTCTTTCGCACTATCCTCAGGTCAGCCTCCGGGTCAGCCTCACCGATGTCCACCTGGGCGACCAGCGTGGACGGGAGGAGCAGCAGCAGCAGCAGCACGGCCACGTGCAGCGGGGTACACATGTGGTGGCTCCTGGCGTCTCGACCTGCACACAAAGACAAAGGGTCCCCCCGACCCGTATAGCCTTAGCAGACTGTTGGGGCAAGTGCTATTAGCGAGCGCCGGGGCGGGTTGGCCGGCGACGGCGCCTGGACCGCCTTTGTCTCCCCTCGTGGCGACGCTTGCCACACAACGCGGGACCGGTTCAGATATCGTCGCCGGTGTTGGGTCGTCGGCGCTAACCGCAGCGCCACCGCTCCCCCACTCGCCCCACATTACGCACGGGGACACTCCGTCGGTGACAAGTTACACGAGCGGCGCCCCCCCCCCCCCCCATTGTCGAGCTGACGTCTAAACGCGCTTCACCGGGGCGGTTCGTGACGCAGCGGCGCTAAGCGCTGCGCCACCGCTCCTCCGCAGCCCACCCTGCAGCACAGGGAGGAGGGGGTTGGACAGAACGCACGAAGCTCCACTCGCAGAGCGACGCACCGAGTCGGGAGTCGAACCCACGTCCGCCTCTTATCTGTGACATAGACTCAACACTGCCCATAGACTCAACACTGCCCATAGACTCAACACTGCACCATAGACTCAACATTGCCCATAGACTCAACACTGCCCATAGACTCAACACTGCCCATAGACTCAACACTGCCCATAGACTCAACACTGCACCATAGACTCAACACTGCCCATAGACTCAACACTGCCCATAGACTCAACACTGCCCATAGACTCAACACTGCCCATAGACTCAACACTGCACCATAGACTCAACATTGCCCATAGACTCAACACTGCCCATAGACTCAACACTGCAGCAACAGCAGCGACATCGGCGGTGTTGTTATGCTGCTGCACTAGTGGTGTGTTGTTATGCTGCTGCTGCACTAGTGGTGTGTTGTTGTTATGCTGCTGCACTAGTGGTGTGTTGTTGTTATGCTGCTGCTCCACTAGTGGTGTGTTGTTGTTATGCTGCTGCACTAGTGGTGTGTTCTTGTTATGCTGCTGCACTAGTGGTGTGTTGTTGTTATGCTGCTGCACTAGTGGAGTGTTGTTGTTATGCTGCTGCACTAGTGGTGTGTTGTTGTTATGCTGCTGCTGCACTAGTGGTGTGTTGTTGTTATGCTGCTGCACTAGTGGTGTGTTGTTGTTATGCTGCTGCACCAGTGGTGTGTTGTTATGCTGCTGCACTAGTGGTGTGTTGTTATGCTGCTGCACTAGTGGTGTGTTGTTATGCTGCTGCACTGGTGGTGTTGTTATGCTGCTGCTGCACCGGTGGCGTGTTGTTGTTATGCTGCTGCACTAGTGGTGTGTTGTTGTTATGCTGCTGCACTAGTGGTGTGTTGTTGTTATGCTGCTCCACTAGTGGTGTGTTGTTGTTATGCTGCTGCACTAGTGGTGTGTTGTTGTTATGCTGCTGCTGCACTGGTGGTGTGTTGTTGTTATGCTGCTGCACCACTAGTGGTGTGTTGTTGTTATGCTGCTGCACTAGTGGTGTGTTGTTGTTATGCTGCTGCTGCACTAGTGGTGTGTTGTTGTTATGCTGCTGCTGCACTAGTGGTGTGTTGTTGTTATGCTGCTGCTGCACTAGTGGTGTGTTGTTGTTATGCTGCTGCACCACTAGTGGTGTGTTGTTGTTATGCTGCTCCACTAGTGGTGTGTTGTTGTTATGCTGCTGCACTAGTGGTGTGTTGTTGTTATGCTGCTGCACCACTAGTGGTGTGTTGTTGTTATGCTGCTCCACTAGTGGTGTGTTGTTATTATGCTGCACCACTAGTGGTGTGTTGTTGTTATGCTGCTGCTCCACTAGTGGTGTGTTGTTGTTATGCTGCTGCTGCACTAGTGGTGTGTTGTTGTTATGCTGCTGCTCCACTAGTGGTGTGTTGTTGTTATGCTGCTGCACTAGTGGTGTGTTGTTATGCTGCTGCACCACTAGTGGTGTGTTGTTGTTATGCTGCTCCACTAGTGGTGTGTTGTTGTTATGCTGCTGCTGCACTAGTGGTGTGTTGTTGTTATGCTGCTGCTCCACTAGTGGTGTGTTGTTGTTATGCTGCTGCACTAGTGGTGTGTTGTTGTTATGCTGCTGCTGCACTAGTGGTGTGTTGTTGTTATGCTGCTGCTGCACTAGTGGTGTGTTGTTGTTATGCTGCTGCTGCACTAGTGGTGTGTTGTTGTTATGCTGCTGCTGCACTAGTGGTGTGTTGTTGTTATGCTGCTGCTCCACTAGTGGTGTGTTGTTGTTATGCTGCTGCATGTGTGGGGCACCGCCACGTGAACGTCATACACGAAGCAGGCGGCGACGTCCCCGCGGGGGCTGAGCGGGGGGCTAAGCGGGGGCTGAGCGGGGGGCTAAGCGGGGGCTGAGCGGGGGGCTAAGCGGGGGGCTAAGCGGGGGGCTAAGCGGGGGCTGAGCGGGGGATGAGCGGGGGGTCTCCTTCTCCTCCCTCCCACCCGGATGTCCCTGCGAGCCCTGGGGATGTCAGCGGCAGGAATTCGAGGAATTTCCCTCCACCACCGGGACAGCAGAACCACGGTGGTGGTCCGTGGGTGGTAGCACCGCGGTGGCTATGAGATGTTAACTACCTCGCCTGGTGTACAGGAGGTCGTGGGTTCGATCCCGACACTGACGCCTGCTGCTGTATATTTGGAGTTTGCGTGTCTCTCTCTCTCATCATCATCACGGTAGCTAGGAGATGTTGACTACCTCGCCAGGTGTACAGGAGGTCGTGGGTTCGATCCCGACCCTGACGCCTGCTGCTGTATATTTGGAGTTTGCGTGTCTCTCTCTCCGAGGTCGCGTGGATATTTCCCCTCCACATGTCGAATCGGCGTCACGCGTTTCGAGTGTCTGGCCGCTGCTGTAAATTCCCACGTGGTGATGACGATGATCAGCCGCCAAGCGTTCACCTGTGATGGGCATGCCGCTGCTGTTGAAGAGTTACGTAGCTCAGTGGAGCCTCACCTGCTAAGATTGTATGTTTATTGGTTTTTATTAGTTTAGTTTAGAATCACGTATTCACACGGAGCTCCCCATTTGCCCCCCCCCCTCCCCCCACGAGATTCGTTTCGCCCAGAAAAACAGTCTAACCGAGTCTCACGACTGCCTTCCCGGCAGCATCATACCAAGTTGCCGCAATACGGGAAGGAGGGGGGGGTAAGCACTTGCCCCTACAGTCTGTAACAGGCTACACGGGGGATCTTTGTCTCTTTTTGTGCATCTGTGTGTGTGTTTGTGTGTCTCTATGTGTGTGTCTGTGTGTGTGTGTCTGTGTCCGGCAAAACAACCCCCTACCTCCTCGCGGTGCCGGATGGGCAACTCTGTTGTGGACAGTGCTGTGGGGGGAGGTCCAATTTTGATTGGCTCCTCCCCTCATGACATATGTGTCCACCACAGGGGCTAAACGGGGGCTCTGGACGGGTGCGAGGGGCTGGTAACCCCTCCACCTTCAATTAATTACCACGAAACCACGAGTTAAACTGAAATATGTAACTAATAAGCTTGTGCCGGAGGCCCCGGGGGGACCAGGCGTCTATGACGTCTCCTGGCCAATCCCTAATTGGCGGAGCCAGGAGATTGAATATCTCCCCTCGGGGCTCCTCCAGAAACAACAAAAAGCCACTACGGGTGGCCACGTGGAATGTTCGAACGCTCACTGCGGAGGAGAGGCTGCCACTCCTCTGTCGGGAGCTGGACCGGTACCGCCTGGATCTGTGTGGCATTCAGGAGGTCCGGTGGACCGGCTCTGGCTCCTGCCACCATGAGGGGTGGACAATCATCTACTCGTGGCAGCAGACTGCCAAACAACAGGGTGTGGCTCTTCTTTTGAACAAAAGAATGAAGGGGCGTGGGAGCGTGGCGGTGAGGTGTGGGAAGCTGTAAGTCCCAGGCTACTTTGGGCTCGCCTTCCCATCAACCGGAGGCGAGGAATGGTGGTCGTGGTTACTTATGCCCCTACCGAAGATGAACATCCGTGGAGGGATGCAGGCAAAGCCGATGAGTCAGATGCCTTCTATGACCTCCTGTAACAGGTGCTGGCTAAAGTGGCCCCTCGGGATAGAGTTATCATGTTGGGTGACTTCAATGCCCGAGTTGGTCATGATACTGGCACCTGGTCTGGAGTGATTGGAGGGCATTGGCCAGATCAGCTCAATAACAACGGTAGGAGGCTGCTAGATTGTTGTGCAGCCCATGGGCTTGTAATTACCAACACGCTGTTCCGGCATCGGCGCATCCACACAACATCATGGATGCATGCCGGGTCCAAGCAAGAACATCTGCTGGACTACATAGTGACGGACCAGCGGATGCGAGCCCATGTCCTTGACACCAGGACCTACCGTGGAGCTGATCTGCCCTCTGACCATCGACTAGTCATCTGTAAGATGCGCCTGCCATTCTTCCACTCCGGTGGTGGGTGTACACCCAGGACCCCATTCCAACCATAAGTGGCCTGGTCTCAGTTATCTGATGAAAGTTGCAAGCGAGAATTTCATCATCGCTTGCAGCTGGGATTGGCATCGTCCCCTACTCCTCCTGATGTCGAGGGTAAATGGGCGAGGTTTAGGACTGTGACTCATGCAGTTGCAATGGCTGCTTTGGGTACGCTGTCCAGACCCCTTCAGAGACTCTGGCTGACAGAGGAGGTGTTCAGGATGGTTGAGAAAAAGCGACAGGCCCACTGTCATCGGCTACAGAATCCCACGTCAGAGAATGAGGAGGCTTACCGCAGCCTTCGCTCGGAGGTTCGGAGAGCCGTGAGGCGCTGCAAGGATGGGTGGTGGTCGCGGGTTGCTGAGGAGATGGAGTCTGCCTCAGTGGCCCGTGATCACAAATCTCTATTTAACTCCATCAAAAAAGTAATATGCAGCGCCACACCTATTACCATCATTAGGGGAAAAAACGGTGACCCAATCTCCGACCCCCAGGAACAGGTTTGCAGATTTGCTGAGCATTTCTTTGAGGTCCTGGGGGAGGGAAAATCCCTCAGCCAGGAAAACATCGTGGCACAAAGTGAGGATGACCCTGCTGAGGCTGCGGTGCCT